TAAGCCGGGATCGTATTAAACATATAGGGATCCCGGGATTGACCAGTCAAAGAAGATATTTTTCAGATAAGCCGGGGATTGTATAAAAACACATAGGGATCCCGGGTAATGACCAGTTTCAAGAATAATAGTTTTCAGAAAAACCGGGATCGTATTAGAACGTACAGATAAGAGTAAATTATTATTCGGTCTATTTGCCATAGTCGGAAGTGTCACTAAACACCTTTAATACACCAATGTTAATTAACACCAGGACGATACGTTTTGGGGTCCTGGTAACTGGACATATTGTTTAAGGAAAATGAGGTCCGTTACAGTTTTCTTTTTCATTCTATATTAAAAAATTGAAAAATAATTTGTTCTTTTTAAAAAAAAATATTCATTTTAGACATTCATATCTGTTTATAAGTGAAACATGTTATTTTTATACGATCCATGGAACTTGATTACTTGTTAAACATCTGTAATATATACCTTATGTTTTACATTTGTATTCTTTCTTTTTTTTCTTCAACGTGAAAGCCTTCTGGTATAGTATATATCATTAGAAAAACAACAAGACATTTAGAGATACTCTACCATAATGGTCACGAAAAATAGTTGATTTTCCTTATTAGAGATAAGAGATCCCTGATGATCGCATTAAGAAAAGCCGGGATCGTATAAGATATATATATCCCGGGAAATTGACCATTACCATCTTGCTTTCAGAAAAGCCTGGATCTATTAAACAGTACAGAGATCCTGGGAATTGACCACCTGTCATACACGTCAAAAGTTTGTTTTTTTTGTTTCCAAGTATACTATACTGTAATTATACAAGTAATGTGATTTCCGCATTTTAAGTGTGTTAATAAATAACTCGAAATATATTTAAATCTTAAGCAAACTTCTTTTACTGTTTATTACATACAATTAAAGAAATAAATAGTTAACATTTAATCGCCTCTCATTACGACAAAAATAAACACAAATATAGTTTATGAGTTTTCCCTATATATCTAATGGTGACGGCCCGGTGAATTTTCGTGTTCTTTGTTCTATAGTAAATCAGTCACATTTGAGGCTTAATTCTGGATTCCACTGTTCTTGATGAATTATATACTGTCTTCAACTTTAAACATCAACACTATTTAAGTCAAATGAGGCCCAAAATATAATAGGTTAGCCATCTACTTTTTTCAGAAATCTTAACTCTGTTTTGTAACACAGTTTAAATTCACCACTTTGAAAAACTCCCGCCTGCTGGTGGGTGGTACATCTTTATCCTTCCGCCAACAAATGAGTTCCTGGAGAATACACAAAAAACAACTTTTAAACACATCATATAACACACAAAAACTACACACATGCAATAAATACACTTTAATTATGACCAATCTAACTAGAGATGACTTAAATTGGGCCACTTCAAAATTTTAAAGAACTACTTTCCGTACCGGGTTGAGACCTAATACGATCCCGGATCCCGGGCGTCCCGGATCCCGGGATTTTCCCCCCCCCACCGTTAGGATTTTACTGAAAAACAAACTAAAACTCCGAATCCATCCAAAAATTTAATCGAAGCTTGGCTTTCAGCTTTCTACAAAATTTATTTATCAGGGTTAGGATCCAAAATCATTTAGGCCAATCAAATTTAATCTTACATAGCGTCAAAAAACCTTCAATTTTCAACGCCATTTTTAAAAAAGCAGCAAGTATTATTTTGAGCGCAAAAATTATAATGATGATTAAAATGTTTGTTTTCATGAATTCTTTTCAAAAATCATATTTACACTGACTTGTTTCAGCGATCTCACCTGTTCCTCTGTAGTAAGTTTTCGTTTGGTTAATTAACATAAGTGTACATCAGGTTCTGTGCATTTTTTTCTTTTTCCTTTTTTCCGGTCATTTTATCCTTTAGGGGGCAGGGGACCTAAAAATGAACAATTTTGTATTTCAGTGTGACCAGAAACACAATTCCAAATATTTCAAAATCTGTTTCACAGGCAGATAACCAGTTGCACGCATTATTCAATGATAAAAGAACATACATTGAAAAAAAATAGTTTGCATGCAATTGCTCTTTTCAAAATGACTGACAGCAAATTTTTTTACCCCCACCCACCAAATAAACCACTAAAAAATACCTTATTGGCTAATCTTATCGAAAGAATGCGCATTACTCCCAAGAATCGCACGATCTCCCCTTTAAAAATAATAAGTAAACCGCAGTGCAAGATATGGGACATTTTCAGAAATGACCAATTTAAAGTGTCTGTTCATACATTTAGCATCTTTTCACAAAATTTATCTGAAAATTTTTATTGCTTTCGGCCGCAACTGTCCAAAGCTTGATTTTATATCTTTTTCGACCATCCATTCGAGAGTTCAGAAAATAACATATAAGGCTTCCCCCAAATCTTAGTTTCGGGTAAAAACCCAAAAATTCTTCTTCTTTCCTAACACAAACAAACAGAAGAGTAACAATGACAGAGAAATATCAGAAAGTTCAGTAACATTCAAAACACCTGTCTGAGTTTTTAAAAATAATTGACCGGGGCCATGCATTTCGAATATGTCCCCCCGCCCCCTTTAAGGATTTTTTATTTGATCCGCTTTAAACGGTTTTCCCTTTTTTTTTCTTTCATTAAAGAAGTTTTTCGCTGAAACGTTTTAAATTCGAAAAAGGGGTTTTTATTGCGGTTAAAAATTTAAAAAAAAACCCTTTTTTCGGGGGAAATAAACATTAACCCAAAGACCCTGCCCGTTTTTATGATTTTTCTTTTAAAAATTTTAAAATGCCAGGAACCCGTGAGGGTGGGTCATTTTTCTGTATTCCCCTTCCCTTTTTAAAAAACCTAAAATATTTTCCGAGTATTTAAAGTTCCCTTTTTGGGAAAGGGGTTTCTAGCAAGAAAAAAAATATATTACAGCCACATTTAATGTCCCAAAATGAATTTTACAGCAAACCAGACCCCATTTACTTTGGCATACAGCTAAAAGTGCAGTAAAGATACCACTGTTGACTTATATGACATTATATACATTTTGTAACAATTGAAAGTGCTCAATTATGCATTATTATGTCAATTTGCACAATATAAAACTGTTTAATCTGGATAAATGTGCACATTCTGTGAAGTACAGTTTTTTGCCAAAATTCCAAATTTTTATTACCTCCCTTGACTTGAAAGTCTACTTACTCTACACAACTTGATAAATCCAACCAGTCGCTTCAAATTTTGACTAACAAGTGTAGAAGGAATGTTTATGGGCACATTTGGTTCAATTCCAACACATTCTATAAATTTGAAAATTTCCTTAAGGGGGCAGGGGACCTAAAAATGAACAATTTTGTATTTCAGTGTGACCAGAAACACAATTCCAAATATTTCAAAATCTGTTTCACAGGCAGATAACCAGTTGCACAGCATTATTCAATGATATATGACATACATTGAAGAAAATAATAGTTTTGCATGCATTGCTCCTTCAAAAAATGACTGACAGCAATTTTATATTTACCCCCACCCAGTCAAAATCACACCTAAAATATACCTATATGGGCAATCTTCATGAAGGTGCAGCATACTCCAGAATCCGCCCGATTCCTTTAAAAATATCAGTAACACGCAGTGCAAGCTATGGCATTTTCAGAAATGACCAATAAAGTGTCTGTCATACTTTAGATTTTTCACAAAATTTATCTGAAATTTCTTACTTGTTTGGCGCCAACTGTCAAAGCTTGATTTTTAACTTTTTCACCTCCATTCGGAGAGTCAGAAATACATATAAAGCTACCAAAATGCTTAGTTTCGGGTAAAAACCCAAAAATACTTCTCATTTCCTACACACAAACAAGAAAGAATTACAATGACAGAGAAATATCAGAAGTTATCAGTACTTTCAAAACACCATGTCTGAGTTATTAAAAAATTTGACCGGGGCCATCATTCGAATATGTCCCCTGCCCCCTTTTATCGGTATTTAGTGTATATATTTACTGGCCGGGGTCCGGGAGGCCCGGATTGGCCGGGATCCGGGATCGTATAAGATATAGAGGAAAAACTAATAAACTTTATTTGTATTGATTATTGTCGAAATGAAAGGACATTAAACGCTAAGTTTTTTATTGTATGTAATGAACGTTAATTTAATCAAACTTAGGATATAAATATATTTAGAGGTATTTATTAACAAACTTAAAATGCGGAAATCCATATACTTATAATTATATGCCTAATTAATTGGAAAAATCAAAGACTACATTCTTGAATTGGTCAAATCCCGGGATCCCTTTATGTTTTAATGCGATCCCAGCTTTTCTGAAAATTATATTCTTGAACTGGCCAATTCCTGGGATCTCTTTATATTTTAATACGATCCCGGCTTTTCTGAAAACTATATTCTTGAACTGGTCAATTCCCAGGATCCCTATATGTTTAATAGGATCCCGGCTTATCTGAAAAACATCTTAGACTGGTCAAAATCCGGGATCCCTATATTTTTTTAATAGGATCCCGGCTTTTCTGACAACTTATGTTTACTTTAGGACTTGTGTCTGTCACTCATTCCAATACTAAATAACATTTTACAACTTAACTTCGTATAAAGAGACATCTTTATGAATTCTACCTATCTAAGATTTATTTGGTCAAGGTCAACAGGCCATACAGTAAATGTGCATAGACATAGGGACTTCATTCTATCTGTTTACATGCATCTTCATATATACTCATATTCCTCTTTGTTAATCTTAGAGAACTGGCTTCCATAACTTTATTTCACTTTTATTTTGATGTTCGCTGAAGTCTCTTCAGCTAACAGAACTATCATTTTTACATTTCAACTGGAAAAGAAAATAAAGAATTACGAAGCGAGTAGCTACTAGCTTTTTTAAAAGCTAACCATGTTAATATTATATCATCATCATTATCGAATATTGCCCCTTTTCGTCTCAATAAATTCGTTGTTGTACATAAAAATTCCTTTCCGCTTATATGACTTATAAAATAAAACGAGTGAGCTGATTGGATAGTTATTTTGATATCGGCCAATTAAAATGAATGTAAATAACTATCTCAGGACGTAATTTTGCCGACAGAAAAGTTTTATTAAATTGAAATTTTAGGTTAGCTAGAACGAAGACAAACATTTTAAACATAATCGGTATGTAAGGTCATTCATTTCAACTTAATCTATTCGTTGATTTTAACACTGTTTATTTATTTGTAATGTAAATTGTATTTGTCATATATATTCGCGATGTTTACCCGAGTCGGACAAAAATCATTTGACTTCTTGTGGTAACAAACTGTTATTTTACTTCATTACTGAGTATCCAGTCACACAAAATATATCCCATATATCGTTGACAAACATTTTAGGACACTTGAACTTTAAATAGAAACAAATCTTATAGTTTCGGGCCCCAGTTCCAGTCACAGACACTTGTGGTTTGGAGCTCAAAACGCCTTTAAAATCCAAATCAGGGATTTTTTTAAGGATTTTGGGAACATGACCCATACCCATGGTATTGGGAATTTCAGCGATGTTTTGTTAAAAATTGGGAAAAAATGCATGACTGAAATTTTACAATTATTTAATGGATGCAAACAAATACTGTCTAGGATGGCATCTACAAACATTTAAGCACTATTACAGTGAATGAGCACTTAAACTTTCAAAGATTTTAGAATTTTTATTCAATATTTTTATTTTGTAACTTTCAATTGGGATTTTTTTTACTGTGGATTGGGAAAATAATATACTATTTTTAATTGGGAATATGACCGAATAACGGCTATAAAATAAGCCAAAATAAATCCCTGCAAATAAAATGCATATTTGTCAATCCCAGCACATGTACTGATCATATATATCAAAAAAACTTAATATAAGCCGTTTTGAAAAAAATTCATATTTCAACATCTATAATAATACACAAGATAAAAATGTTCGCCGGATAAAATCCGCACCCCTACCGTCATAATCACCATGTATTTTATTCCATTTCCAATATTTTCACATAATCCTTTGGTCCATCGACACAGAAGATATAATTCTTCACGATGATGGTCAATTTTTAACTTCAATGGTAATATAAACAACGCAACAGCCGAAATAAACATCAATATTATCGCCGTTTTCCTTCCATGACATTATCTTTTGATAAATTCAAACGTGCCAGTCGGCTATGACAGAAGCTATCTGATTATGTGGCCCCAGCTTTGCCGTGTGCAAAATGCGCAGCGCTTTTAAGTTTGGGAACCAGGCCCCTTCACAATTTTGACAAAAAATGCCCTGGCAGCTTTAAAAAATTTTCTTTTAACCCTAAGAAACAAGATTAGAAATGTATATATAAGCTAGCTGCTGTTACGGTTTGGTTCTGGTGAAGGTTGTGCACAGGTCATATCAGAGAAAAATATAGCATTTTTATTGGGAAAATACCTATAATAGTTTAGATAAGTGGAAAAACCCTTAATTTAGCTGTACAATATAGGAAAAATATTAAATGTAATACACTAAAGATCCTGAATGTTGTAATTATGGTTGTTACCATTTGTGTGTATTTGATTTAATTTATACTTGCCACCCGTTGCCCATATGGGCGAGTCCTCTAGAAGAGTATTAGTCATTTCATATTTTTGGACGATAGTGCAAGAAACTGGAAGGTTCTTTAATTCTGGTTCTTTTACGTGCCAAGTGTTTAAGCACTCATACCATGGTACCTCAAATTCATCCTAAAGACTGATTAGTAATTTTAGTTGACCATTAGGGAATCAAACCCACAAAGTTGAGATTACAAATAGCGCTTGAACCCATTGAGCTATGCGGGCTGGCTTGGTTCTTACCACACTTAAGTGAAATAGTGTATATATATAAAATTATGCTTCTAAAACAGTTTTAAAACATCGAAAAATATGTAAAAAATGTACTGCAAACATTTGGCCACATTATATGTAATCATTAAAACATATGCATTCATTTCTTATTGAAAAATTTGACTTAGACAAGAAATAAATTTCTTATTACCTCCCTTTATTAATATGAAATGTAAATTCAGTAATATCTTTACAAATAATGCTTTTTGGAACTTATAATATTGATAAATCTTCATTTGAGCATTATATTTATGATATAAAACCATGAAAAATTGAGTAACAGGATCTTTAATTTATAACGTTAGCCATGCAGAAAATTAATGTAGCCCTTTATTAAGTTTATTGGAACTTTTGAAAAATAAACAGCACGAAACTTGGAATATTTGCTAATCATGAGAAGGTAAGGGGCATAATTCTGAAAGCAATATTTTGGAGTTATGTCCTTATATATACTGTATTTAGAAGCATGAAACTTGTTTATAAAGGGAGGTAATAAAATTTGTTACTTACGTTAATTATTATGACCTGGTTCAAGATAAAAAAAATATGAATAAAAGAGGCAACACTTTTTAAATAGTACTTTTGTCATGGGTCAATAAAATTGCATTTCTTTTCTTAAATAATGGCAAACTTTTTAGCATGAATGATTAGATATATATAAAATTTGTGGTATTCTACATCATCCGAGGTTTTCATAGAATTTTCACAGAATTTTAAATTCTACTAATTTTGGCGGCTAAAAAAGCCATATTACAATTAATGTCATTGCACTAATTGGCATAGTCCTTTGGGTTTTTGCACATTTTGACAGCAAGCTTATTTCACAGAATGGCCTGTTAAATTAAAGCATCATGTCTCCAGATTCATGCTAATTTTCAAGAAAATTTTGAAAATGTGCTAAAAAGTAAAATATTGTAAAATCAATAAAGAAAATAAAATTGCAAAAGTGCAAAAAGCAATTACAAATTTCCATGTAAATTACCACAAAAAAGGTCAAAATAGGCAAAAATAGCCCTTACTGAGTTAGTAACGTATAAATATGATAAAAAATTCTGCAAAATTGGTAATAAATTGCACATAACATGGAAATTATTACTTTTATTTTGAACCTTTTTACTTTTCATAAAATGTCATTACCTTATTCTCAAGTTTGATTTTCTTGAAATATTTTGGTTCATCTGGAGGCATGAAGCTTTAAACTATCTTATTTTTAGTACTCAATGACATCTGTTGTTTACAGTCAGATATGGTATCAGATGTTGTATAAAAGGGAGGTAATAAGATAAGAAATTTATGTAAATAGGCATGATATTTTACATTAAAAATAACATTTGGTAACATTTTCAGAATGTTTTAAATAGCTTTGTTATAATTTAAACATTTTAAAAAAATGTTTGAGATCATTTAAAGATGAATGTGTTGTTATGTTATCAAAGGTATATATGTTAGATAATGTTCAATTCCATCACTTTTAAACCTATTTAGTAAATATTACAATAATTTTGCCAGCCTTATAGGCTTAATAAGTTTCTTGGTATTTCTTTACAGGGACAATGACTGCATTGGTCAGGGCTGACAAAATGTAATTTTGACCTACTTACCTGTTTTAATCTGAAGCATTTCTGAACTTACCCATATGGTATTTATAACACAAATTCTTCAAAATTTTCTCTGGCCCCAAAATGATAGTTACAAAGTACAAGCTTGTGTGTCCATTGTCGAATTTTGGTCAGGCCCATAAAATGTTTCAAATATTACTAGCCCACAAACTTTAAGAAAATTGCCCACCAATAACCTCTCTGAAGATGAAATGATTTAAAGCTTTCAGATGGGACAACTAATTTATCCTGGATTCAGGAAATAGAATTACCAGATAACTGTATAAGACAATTTATTCTTTAATTTTCTTTCCACTTTCGAAGTTTAACATAAGAAACTTTATAGGGTTAGTAGATATTTCCGACAATAAGGCTTGAATGGCTTGTGGTTTTCTGGTCCTTAAAGTAGCTTCACTGCCCACGACATGTTGTGCCCTAATATAGGGTTTATTTTGCAGCATATGCACTGATATTTAACCTGTGTGCAAGTTTAATACTACTTAAGAGCTGAATTTTGAGTCAAAATGTTTTACAAACGGTCACAAGATCATATAACCCAAGCCCAGAGGGCCACTGCTGATAACTGATAATTATTATATGTTTCATTTAATTTGTAGGGTCGTCCATAGCCAAGTGAAAAAGGTCGTTGACTTCAATGCACTTGCTACTCACCGTTGTAGGTTCAAATCCCACCAGGTACTTTTGACCCTTTTATGTAAGGAAGCTATCCAAAAGGGCCGGCAAAATCAATTGTCCATATTGCCCAGGTTGTCCCACAGTCTGTACAGACAAGAGAAATTTTCAAGAATAAACTATGGTCCTGTCCAACCTACTCAGGTGCTTGCTTGTGCCGTAAACAATGCATGAAAGGTTACCTGAGATCTTCCTCCACCAGTAGAGCTGAAAATTTGCTATATGACTTTTACTGTGTTATAAACTTTGATCATATAATAATTATGATAGTAACTGGTGTTTGTTTTTATGTTTTATAGTTACATGCAGCGATGTCCCTGTCAGGTAGGGAATGGGATGATTTGAAGTCTTTACTAGACAAGGCGGTGAATAAATTTCTAGGATTCAGTGAACCCTCACTAGTGACTGCCGCCCTCAACTGTATAGACAAAGGTTACGATGAAAGGAAGACTTCAGGTATGGAACCAGACCAGCTTCACCTTTAACTAACCCGGCTTTACCTTTTATCAAAACTTTTACCTGAACCGGCTTTAAACTTCAATGGAACCAAGTTAACCTTTTACTGAATTGGCTTAAATTTAACCGAACAAAGTTGACCTTTAACTGGGCCAACTTAAACTTTAATCAAACTAAGGTAACCTATCACTGAATCGGCTAAAATTTTACCTGAACCGGCTTGAACTTCAACTGAACCAAGGTACCTTAAACTCTATTGGCTTACTCCTGAAAGCACTATTTACCAATGTTTCAATCATATCTATATTCAGAGTTTTCAGGGTTTTTTTCTGGCATTTTTAACTTGTATTCTTGAGATTGACCGGCAAAATGACTGTGAAATTTTCAAATTTACAGATAAGTTACAGACAATCTTGAAATTTTCAAATTTACAGATAAGTTACAGACAATCTTGAAATTTTCAAATTTACAGATAAGTTACAGACAATCTTGGACGAGAAGCAAGCCCCACTATTTGCTGAGAAGTTGTTTGACGTCTGGGATCAATACAGGGCAACAAGTAAATCACATCGGAGTAAACGTAGAAAGGTATCTGTAACCCTTAACCTTCTCGATTATTTGAGCCGTGTCACGACAAAACCAACATCAACAGTGCATTTGTGACCAGCATGGATCCAGACCAGCCTGCGCATACGGGCAGTCTGATCAGGATCCATTCTGTTCGCTATTAGTTTTTCTACTTGTAATAGGGTTGGTAAGCGAACAGCATGGATCCTGATCTCATCCTTTCGAACAGGTTGCTTTATTCATAGTTTAGTACATAGTTGTCACCCCGAGAGGGCAATCACAGTGAAGTTATTTGATACAAAATGTAATATATCAATATCTGGAATTGTATACATGCTCATTATTGTCCTTGACCTTTATGTCTATTTATAGATACAAAATTAGAAATTATTACAATGCATTTAATTCCGCGAATTTTGTGAATCGAAGATTTCCGCAAAATCAATATTTATTTTAAAGACTAATACATTTCTATCTTTGTTCAGTTTCAGGATGATAGGGACGATGCCGAGGATGGAAGAAAGAAAGCAAAGTTTGAGGAAATTCCGGTTACGCCTGAGGGGCCAAGCCCGGGACAACTTACAGAAGAAAAGGTAAAACCATGATCGAAACTTTAAAGGCCTCCACAGCCCTGTGGTTAATGTGATAGATGCCTCACCATTCATCACACTGAAAGAATTTGGCCTAATATTTTGAATGTCTTATTAAGATAGCTTACCAAGAGATCAATTTATCTGCTTTGGTGCATGCCTGAACATTCCTTAAAGCTGCTTTTACATTCTCTTAAGCTTATGAAGGTCAATTTATCTACTCCGGTGAATGCCTGGACATTCTCTTATTAAGCTAGCCACAAGGATTAATAGTTCTACTCCGGTGTGCCTGAACATTCTCTAAATTAAACAAGCTTATGAAGATCAATTTATCTACTCCGGTGCATACCTGAACATTCTCTTAATTATACCCCCAAAAACGAAGTTTGGGGGGGTATATAGGAGTCACCCGGTGGTCGGTCGGTCCAGACGTCCGTTGCATTTTCCTTGTCCGGAGCATTACTTGAAAACTAATGGTTGGAATTCAATATAACTACATACAATGGTCAAGCACATTGAGAGGAAGTGCAGTGCACAAGAACCATAACTCTATCTTGACTAACTACAGAGTTATTGTCCTTTGTTACTTTTCCTTGTCCGGGGCATAACTTGAAAACTACTGGTTGGAATTCAAAACAACTTCATACAATTGTCAAACACAATTAGGGGAAGTGCAGTGCACAAGAACCATAACTCTATCTTAAGTTATTACAGAGTTATTGCCCTTTATAACTTTTCCATTGCTTTCTTTTATCCGGACCATAACTTGAAGACTAATTGTTGGAATTCATTATAACTTCATACAATGGTCCAGCACATTGAGAGGAAGTGCAGTGCACAAGAACCATAACTCCATTTTGACTTTTTTACAGAGTTACTGCCCATTGTTTATTTTCCTTGTCCAGAGCATGACTTTAAAACTACTGGTTGGAATTCAAAACAACTTCATACAATGGTCAAGCAAAATAAGGGGAAGTGCAGTGCACAAGAACCATAACTCCATCTTGACTAATTACAGAGTTATTGCTCTTTGTTACTTTTCAATTGCTTTCTTTTGCTCCGGACCATAACTTGAAGACTTATTGTTGGAATTCATTTTAACTTCATACAATGGTCAAGCACATTGAGAGGAAGTGCAGTGCATAAGAACCATAACTCCATCTTGACTAATTACAGAGTTACTGCCCTTTGTTACTTTTCCTTGTCAAGAGCATGACTTGAAAACTACTGGTTGGAATTCAAAACAACTTCATACAATGGTCAAGCACAATAAGAGGAAGTGCAGTGCACAAGAACCATAACTCCATCTTGACTTATTACAGAGTTATTGTCCTTTGTTACTTTTCCTTGTCCAGAGCATAACTTGAAAACTACTGTTTGGAATTCAGTACAACTTCATACAGTTGTCAATGACATTCAAAGGAAGTGCAGTGCACAAGAGCCGTAACTCCATTTTGACAAAATACAGAGTTACTGCCCTTTGATACTTTTCCTTGTCCGGAGCATAACTTAAAACATACTGGTTGGAATTCAAAACAACTTCATACAATGGTCAAGTACAATTAGAGGAAGTGCAGTGCACAAGCACTATAACTCTATCTTCAGTATTTATAGAGTTATTGCCCTTTGTTCTTTTTCTTTGTCTTTCTGGACTTATTACAGAGTAATTCAATTAAACTTCATCAATGGCCAACCACATTGAAAGGAAATGCAACATACATGAACCACAGTTATCTTTAATTGCCCACAACCATAACTCTATGTTTCAATTCTTTTACAAGGTATTCTGTTACTAGTAACATCCTCATTTCCGAAGCAGACTTGTGGGGGTATTAATCACATTTAGTGATAGTTCTAGTTAAGCTAGCTTACTGAAGATCAATATATCTACTCTGGTTCATGCCTGGAGTTCTGTAGTTCTACTCAGATGCAAGCTAGCTTTATCCTGAGTAATTCAAACAAGCACAGAGGATGTTTACTTTCCAATGAAATATCTTTTTGTTGCCTCGTTAGATTTCAATTTCATTTTGTTACCTGTCTAATAATAATAATTTACTATACTCATGACTTCCTTAGATTGCAATTTCATTTTGTAATTTTGTTTATCAGATGCAAAAATTATTGTTTGAATTTTTAAAAGTATCCTTCCAAAATGCTTGTATGAAATAAATATGGTAATTTATTGCCTGAAAGCAATTGGTGCATGCTAAAAGTCATTGGGAAAGCAGCTAAACAGATAAAACCCTACTTATATAAGCAGAATAATATTTTGTTCCAGAACATTTTTTTTTTGTTTACGTTCATAATTCAAGTGTATTAAAAAACAGTGGCATTCTATGTTACAACTTTTTTGGGGAATCAACCATATGAAAATGGCACCAATATAATTTTACTGTTGATCAACTTTATTAAAATATTTCAAAAGATATAGATTTATACCCTTTAAAGGGACTCCACTGAGGTTTTTTGAAGTGAAAAGACCGAAAATATTTTTTCAAGACTTTAGTATAACTAGATTTTACTTATGTCTAGACAAATAACTCATGTACAATATTTCAGATCATTCACTCACTCCATTTCCCAGAAATAATCAATTTTATTGTCCAATTTGGCCAAATAAATGAAAACCCTTAAAACGCTTTTCACTCAAATCGGCCAAAAATCACATAAAAAGTGATTATAAATTTAATACCGTCTATATTTTTATATCATCTATTGCTTGGATTCAAATTTAAATGTATGTACCAGTTGATTTAAAGTGACATTATGCTCATATTTTCATAGTCAAGTTGAGCTGCACTGATTACCGTATATATTTCAAAAGATTGACTGTTTAAATGGTGATTGACCAACAGTTCATATTGGAAAAATGTTTCGGATAAAATTTAAATCTGCCTAAAATATAAAAAGGCTGTCCCACTCTTTTTATGAAATGAATGTTACAGTGTATTGGATATTTACGAAAATTTCACTTGAATGCATGCGTTGTTTATTGTTTATGTGAAATAAATTTGTACATCAAAAGGAATTATGGCAAAATGAAAACCTATTTTGACATTCATTTGTTCACCCATTTATATCCTTTGATGGGCATAATGTCACTTTAAGAAAGAAATTAGAAATTTATTATTTTAGGCTATTGGACCTCAGTGGAGTTCCTTTAACCTCTGTAATTATGATAATGATTTATTTATCACCATGTTAGATTAAAGAGATGATGCAGGCAGCACAGAAAGTAATTCAGGAGAGAAAAGCACAAATGTCAGCACAGTTGCCTTCCGGTCCACCGCCACCCTCGACAAATTCGCAGGTATTTACAGTTTATTTTTAAAATTTAAATTTTAACTTTGAAGGGCTACTAACCTAGGCTTTGTTTAGGACATTGGCAGCTGGTCTCCAGTGAAAGACGAAGTAAAGGTTTAGTGTTGTTATGTACAGATGGGTGAAAAATAAAGTAGAGGTTTCACCAGATAAACCACAAATTTTCTGTTGGTGCCCTGTAATTCTCTACGACATGCATATACTGAGGGGATGCATGATTCAGAGTAATGCTAACTTTAAACAAAGACCAACATATACTAAAGAAAAGTTACCTCCATCTATTCTGTTTCTATTGGACTTATATAAACATCTTCAAAACCCATATAATTGACAACTGCACTGTCATCCAAAAGAATTCAGTATCAAACTCATCATAATATATCTAATTTAAAAGATATTTTGACTGTCTTGTGTACCATCATTATGCATAATGCAGGGTGGGGGTATTTATAAAACTAGACTATCTAAGGTTTAAATTTATACAATTCTACAACACCCCCCACCCCCACCCCATCCCAAACCACCTCCCCCCCACCCAAACCACCTGCATTACATAGTGAATTTTATTGAAATATGAATATTATATTATTTCAAAATTAAAGGTATGTTATTTATTGCTAAACTCAGGATTTGCTACAGCTAAAAAAAAGAACTATAACTATAAAGGGAGGTAATAATATCACTGGAAATCTAAATTAGAGAAAGTACATGGACAGTTAGGAAAGTTATTTGTGATGATTAACAATTAAATAACAAGTTATTTTCAATATTAAAATGCTAAAAATTTGATATGTACATCATTGAAAACTGTGAATGTTATTCTAATTTTTTTGTTTAAAGCCAACTGTGCTGATGTGAAATGAAATTTCATTTGATTTAACAAGAATTTTGGTGCCATGTTTGTTAAACATGGCTAGGGAATTAAAATGGGCTTGTCTCTTTATGGAACTGTCCATTTTCATTTTATAGGGATGGATATTCAAAGCCTCATTACCGCACAAACTGGGGCCCTCACAAACTGGCATCGGCCCTCGGAATTAATGTGTTTCACATGGTACTGTGCATGTAACACAGGCAAAAGTTAAAGATTGATCTCTGGTGCGTTTTGGAGCATTCTGGGTCAAGCTTTTTGACATTCTGAACCTTATCATCTTTATATTATTAATTTTGGGATACATATAATGTTTTGTCTTCGCCGTCCGTCCGGTTGTCCATCCGCATTAAGCTTGTCCGCCCTTCACAAGTTAAACTACTGGTGGGATTTCAACCAAACTTTACAGGAGTGATAAGTACCATTTTTAGTTGTGCGATGTCAAAGTTCAAATAAGAACCCCCTGTCTGGAAAAATAAAAATTTTGGGGCATTTAATAGAGACAATACAGTACCCTGTTACATTAAAGGGAGATAATAGAATTTACAAAATTTAAATTTTGCAGGGCCAAGTAAAGTTCAATGATTAAATTTTAATGAATTTCACTTCAACATTAATATGTGTATCATTAATAAAGAGTCCAAATCATATATTTGACTAAATTATAAACTTTGTGATTATTGATGAGTGTGTTTTTATATAGATTGAATTGAATTTTTGTGGTGGTGTAGGGGCCTCCGTGGCCGAGTGGTTAAGGTCGTTGACTTGAGATCACAGGTCCCTCACCGCTGTAGGTTCGATCCTCACTCGGGTCGACATCTTTCATGTGAGGAAGCCATCCAGCTGGCTTACGGAAGGTCGGTGGTTCTACCCAGGTGCCCGCTCGTGCCTGAAATAATGCCCGAAGGGGCACTTGGGGTCTTCCTCCACCAATAAAGCTGGAAAAAATCGACGAAAAAATCTCGGCGGGACGCTCTAGGATGGCCCGACTTGAGTGTACGGTCGCCCATATGGGCTTTCCGGCGGCGACCTTAAATAAACGCATTAAAAAAAAAAAAAAAAAAAAAAAAAATGTGGTGGTGTATAATTATGTGTGTAATAAAATTATATTTTTGATAAGCCACATTTGGCTAATACCATGAGTTTAATATGCAGGTGTAATTGGCACATTATACCAAGGTGGTTAAGGTTGTTGACTTGAGATCACAGGTCCCTCACCACTGCAGGTTCGATCCTCACTTGGGTCGAAATCTTTCATGTGAGGAAGACATCCAGCTGGCTTATGGAAGGTCGGTGGTGGTGCTCGCTTGTGCCTGAAATAATGCCTGAAGGGGCACTTGGGGTCCTCCTTCACCAATAAAGCTGGAAAAAATTGACGAAAAAATCTCGGCGGGATGCTCTAGGATGGCCCGACTTGAGTGTATGGTATATGGGGCGACCTTAAGTAAACGCATTAAAAAAAACCCAAAAAACATTATACTAAGGACAGGTGATAGACCTTTCCAGTGTTAACAGTTTTATAAAAATTGGTAGCCTACACTGAGATAATACTGTTGAAATTTATTTATTTGAGAACTGTTGTAAACATAGCATGGATCAGTGCTTCTTTAGGATAGGTAAATCATTTGTGTATAGGTAGTAGTGGTAGCGTGCTAGTCTATCAACTATACAAGTGTGGGTTCAAATCCCAGCATTCCCATTTCTTTAAATATATTTTGTTCAATGCAAAAAAGATTTAGCCTCGTTTCCATTTCTACAGTATAAAAATCCATATTAAATGCATATCACACCCCATAGAGCCTCATTTTCATTTTCAGAGTTCATAATGTCCGTATCAAATGCATATTGTACCCAATAGTTAGCCTCATATCAATTTTCAGGGTCAAATAGAATTACACCAATGAAGTAACAAAGTCCTGTCAAAATGTTAAAAAAAGTGAAATTAACAGGTCATTATACTTGTTAAGAACTATGCTGATTCTATTGGACATATATGCATGTACGAAACCTTTAAAATTGGCAACTGCATATTCATACAAAAGAATTCAGTATCAAACTCATTGCCATAATATGATTAATTTAAAATATATTCTGACTTTTTTGTGTACCATCATTATTCATAATGTGGCAAGGGTGTATTTTTAAAAAAATTCAGCTGTTGAAGGTTAAATTTTTACAATTCTGCGCCCCCCCCCCCTACCCACCTGCACTACATAGTGAATTTAAATAAAATATGAATATTATATTATTTCAAAATTTAATGTATGTTGCTAAACTTGGAGAATTTGCTACAGCTAAAAAAAATACTATAACGATAAAGGGAGGTAATAAGTTCACTGAAAACCTAAAGTAGAGAAAGTACATGGACATAAAGGAAAATCAATTGTGATGATTTACAATTAAATGTAAAGTGTATTTTGATATTATAATACTAAAAAAATTTTACATATATTATTGAAAACTGTGAATGTTATTCTAATTATTTTGTTTAAAGCCATAACTGTGCAAAGATGAAGTGAACAGGGGCCTCCGTGGCCAAGTGGTTAAGGTCGCTGACTTGAGATCACAGGTCCCTCACTGCTGTAGGTTCGATCCTCACTTGGGTTGAAATCTTTCATGTGAGGAAGCCATCCAGCTGGCTTACGGAAGGTCGGTGGTTCTACCTAGGTGCCCGCTCGTGCCAGAAATAATGCCCGGAGGGGCACCTGGGGTCTTCCTCCACCAATAAAGCTGGAAAAAATTGTGGCGGGACGCTCTAGGATAGCCCGACTTGAGTGTACGGTCGCCCATATGGACTTTCCGGCGGCGACCTTTAATAAACGCAAAAAAAAAAAAAGATGAAGTGAAATTTCATTTGAGTTAACAAGAACTTTGGTGCCATGTACTTTAATTACGGCTAGGGGAATATCATGAGAATTAAAATTGGGCTTGTCTCTTTATGGAACTGTCCATTTCCATTTTATAGGACATATATTTTTATCTGAGCCTCATTTCCTCACAAATTTGGAGCCTCATGACCTCACAAATTCACCCTTGGGAGGGAAGTTCCTGTCCGAACCACAACATATTTACAGATATTATTAATCTGTTTCTTTTCGTGCCATGCATGTTACACAGGCAAAAGATAAGGAACGTCTCCGGTGCGTTTTGGAGTACTCTAGGACAAGCTTTTTGACATTCTGAATCTTATCATCTTTATATGACATATTGTTCTTGCCTTTGCTGTCCGTCCGGTTGCTCGTCCATCCGCGTTAAGCTTGTCCTTCCTTCACAGGTCAAACTACTGGTGGGATTTCAACCAATCTTTACAGAATGATTTTAATAAGAACCCGCCTGTCTGAAAAAATGCAAAAAAATGCAAAATTTTAGGGCATTTAATTCAAACAATACTGCAACTTTTCAGTGTACCCTATTATATTAAAGGGAGGTAATAGAATTTACAAAAAGTAAATTTTGCAGGGCTAAGTCAAGTTCAATGATTAAATTTTAATGAATTTCACTTCAATATTGATATGTTTACCATTAATAAAGAGTTCAAATTATATATTTGACTAAATTGTAAACTTTGTGATTATTGATGAGCGTGTTTTTATATAAATTGAATTAATTATATGTTGATTAGCATATAGAGTGTGATGAAATGTATTTTTGACGCCAAATCTCATTGGCTAATCACAAACATGCAGCATGATTGGCTACTGTCTTTCCTGCGCCACATATTTTTGACTAAGTCTATTGTTTGGTCTTAGAATGTCAGAAAGGTGAAGGTTGAGAGGTTATAAACCAATTTGTTTTTTTTTTTGTATACTGTAGTGCCACTATTGTCTTCCAGTGATGAAAACCATATAATTCTGAGCTTAATATTTCCACACTAAACCTGTTGTTTTACACAGATGTAAATAATCATGGAGCTTCAAAACCTATATTGGACTAGGTAGCTCAGCTCGACAACTGGGTATTTTCAATAAAAAAAAATCATTTTTGACCTATTATAATAATAATGACCAAATATTAAGATATTTTGGCTTTTATCTGTGCAGATTCATTTTGGGAGTTTAAAAGAATGCAACCAATATTGTTTCAATTCAATTTTTCCACTCTGCACTTTAGCACACAGT